AGGTATATAGATGACATCTTCATTATCTGGAAAACAACGCCGGATACAACAACATTTGTCGATTCTTTCAACAATAACCCGTTCGGGTTGACTCTGGAAATAGAGCAATCTCACCCATCTGAAGTACACTTTCTGGATATAAGCGTTAAGGTCGATAGCTCGGGAATCAATACGTCGGTATATCATAAACCTGGATCCACATCATCATATATTCCGACCGGGTCCTGTGATCCGAGCTCATACAAGACTGCAGCCTTTAGGGCATTAATCAGAAGAGCCTTTACGCATTCATCTAACATCCAGGCTCGCGATACCGAACTAGCCTACATACTCCGCGTTGCCGCCCAACACGGGTATCACAAACATATCCATAGGCTAATACAACATCAACAACGTATATATTCGGAGAGTGTACAAGAATCGGACCAAGTCCGTGACGGCCGACCTGAAGAAATAGAGCGTATCTCCATCACATACAACCCGTACTTAAAATCTCTATACGCTAAGCTTGCCAGCAAACGTCAGCTACGTCTAGCTTTTAAGAGGTGTCCCACCATCTTCAACCTCTTACGTAATGGAAAGGACCCTCCTAACCCCATCAGACGCCCTGGAATCTATAGCATCCCAGTGAAGGACAACAGGTGCGATAGGAACCTGATTTATATAGGCTCCACTAAACGATCTTTGGGAGTCAGAATACAAGAGCATCTAGCCGATATTCGGCACGGAAGAACTTCCACTGCCCTCTCTACGTATGTAACTGATCCGGATATAGTAGCGAACTTCTCCCAGGCCATTCTCCTCCATGATTCGCCTCCTATTGAACACCTCAAATGGCTAGAGGCTATGCACATATTTATATCCTTCACCACCAACACGTGCATAAATTTTAAAGAGGAGATGCTGTTATCGATGGCCTGGCAGGAGTTAATTCACAACATGCTCTAATTCACCCATCAAAATCCGACGGGCGAACTGGTCGTGCATGCGCGACTTGGATTGTGTGAATCCATTCGAACCTACAGCTCAAATTTCAAGCTTTAAACAACATGATCGAACGGATTTCTACGTCTAACGGATATCGAATGTCTTTATAGAAACTGATTGGAACCTGAAGCAGAGCCCAGAAGGGGTTCGAAAACGTTTGTTTACCAATCTTTTGCATGATTACACCATAAATGGTTCAGGTGTGTTAAAATTTTTGTCATTCCGGTGTGATAAATAGTGAATTTATTTTGAAAGAATTTCTTTTGGGTTTCATTTATTCCAAGGAGGAAGGCCTCAACTTCTGGCACGATATGTTCCATTGCAAGTTTGTAAGTTCTAGGAACAAAGGTCCATTTCTTAAAACATCTGTGAAGTATGGGGGTGGAAAAATCCCATCCCAACAAACAATAAGAACTTGTATGTCTCTTTCTGTTCTTAGTTTTTGGCATTTAAAAAACCATTGTAATTTTTTGTTTTACCTTTTCCATAGGGCAGAAGCCAGTCTCGCTTGCATGTTTAATAACTCTGACATTCCATTTTTACTTGTTTTTTTCATTTTATTTATTAGAAGTTTATTGTATATATTAATTAATAATTATAAATGAGTTAAATGGAATTTTTGAGATGGTGTACTCAAGCAACATGAATGCTCATCACTTAGGATACTATCATCATCAACATTAATTAAACAAATAATGAAATTTTAATCTTTACATTATATTAAAGGAGTTAGCTGCTTTTCTGAGATTAAACATTTTTTGAGACCAAGTTTGCCTCTTCATATATCCCTAATACTGTATTAATTAAACAGCAGTGTGGAAAGTACAAAATGGCTACATATTTTTTTTATTGTTTTGTTACATTTCTGTTTATTTATCAAGTAATATTGATAAAATATATATTAATAATGAGCAATTATTTATTGTGTCATCATCAAAATGCCAGGCTGCAATTTTTAATCATATTTTTAATTTATTAATATAAAATACCATATTTATTCGCATGTAAGACGATCTCGCATATAGGACAAGGTGTGATTTTAAAGATCAAAATAAAGAAAATTAGATTTGTTAATACAATTCTAATTTTATTTTGTTTAATCACAAGTAAAATATCAAATGAACGTAAATGCACACATTGTCCCACAAAAATTACTGGCAGTTTAAACTTTAAGGAAAAATCATGTAAAATCAACAGCATAATTTATTCATGTAAAGCTGGACAGTCAGAAACCCTTTTTTGCCAATTCTTAACAGTCGAATTCTGATTTCCAAATAATCATCTGTTTTCACGTGGGATTGGATTAAAACTTATATCGGGCTCCCGTGTGATTTTGTAATTTCAATCTGGAATTCAATTGAAAAGCTTTGCTTTTCCTACTGCTATTCATCTTTACTCCTGACAATATGCAAGAATGATTGAGACAACCCAGATAAAATACTTATATTTTTAAATACAGGAGGGTAAGCATTTGGTAAAAAATGCGAATACACAGTTCACAGAAATTATTTGCAAAAATGCAAAGAATCTTTTGCTCACATGTATAGGACAACCTAGGAATTTGAAACTGTGATAAATGAATAAAAACCTCATGGTATATGCTCTCCAACTCAAATTGGCAGTAGTTTGCTCCTGTACATCATACTTTTCCTTTAATAATAATCATGCTGGTCATCTATTAAATGCTTTCAGGAGGAAAATTTTAAATTGAAATAACATGACTTTAGTTTGCATCAGAAGTTCATATTTAGTTAATTGGGATCTCCTTTCCCTAAGGTTTCCATATCTGGTCTCAAATTTCATCCATTTAACTCTTATCTTGGATGGATGGATGACAGTGGGAATTTATAGGTCAATATATCACATAGGTCTACAATTTTTTTCAGCCCAATGATGATGATAATAACTAATACTAAAATGGTTAAAAAATAAATAGAAAATGATTTTTTAATGTCAGTAATATCTCTTATTAACTGATATTTTGAAGAGCCACCTTAGTTCAAGACAAGTTTAGAGTGGCAATACAGTCAGTGTGAATGATTGCTTACCAAATGTAGAGTAAATAATTGTAAACAAAGTGTAATCAATGGCATCATTGTTATTTTACTAAGAAAGCTGCATAGAGACTAGTGATTTTCAAAATGGACATGGAAGGTTATTTGAAGATTTTATTTCAATTATAACAATTTTTTATGGAGTATTTGCCATTATGACTTAGCTACATGAAATTATGGTTATTTAGTTTGTAGTTATGTTTTGCTATTAAAAAATTAGGCTTTAATTTATTTTACAGTTACATCTGTAAAAAGATTTTTGAAGAACTATTTATATACATAATAATAATTATTTTGATTAATCTTACACTAACATTTGTTTTCTATGAATTAAGTAACATAATTATAAGTTATTTATTTTTATTTGAAATAAAAAATCTGTATACTTTTTTTCTTAAGAAATTTTGAGAAAAAAGATTCTAATGAAGAACTTTGTCTGGATATTAATTATTACAGAAATGTAGCCTCTTATTGATCAGATGTACTTGTTGAATTTTGATTCTCATCTGTGGAAGTATTACTAAAACATATTTTTGATGTATTAATTATTAACATGGTATCTATTGACATAAAATTTAGTTTTCATGTTAATAAAATATTTGAATTTGTAACATCAAATTGATACCAAATATAAGTAATTTTTATGTTGATGTTCAAATGTAATTTTTTGAATTTTCTGATTTTCTGTATGTTGGTAGTTCTATATGATTTGTTTTTTCATTTGAATCTTTTTATTATTAATAGCTTAAATTATAGAAATTACAATATTTAGCTGTTTCTTGAAATTACTGTAAGAAGTTTGAAAACCTTGTTTTTAATTAGTATATTTTTGTACATATAAGAGCATGCTGTTATAAGTGAAAATTGCTTGTTTTTTGCATTTTTTGAAACATTTCTTGCTTTGCTTTCCACAGCATACCTCTCTTATAAATATAAGAGCATGCTCTTGTGTGTGCCAGTTTGTTTTGGCTTATAAGAGCACTGCACTGCTGTGTCAGTGTAAATTAAATGTAAATGTATTGATATAGTAACTACTCAGTGACATCTCTGTGTTAATGTTATTAAAAATAAAAGGCCAAAATAAAAAATACTTCTAATACTATAAAAGTTGTTTTAAAAATAGTGAGTTTTTAGGTACTTTGCGTAATATAATGTTGATTTTTAATGTTGATAATTTGATTTTAATGTTGAAAATGATATCTGTAAGAGCATGCTCTTATATGTGTGAAAATACAAGTAAATATTTAAACTCAAGCATTTTTTGTGATATATTTGTTAATTTTAGAATTATTTAAATTTGTCTTTATTTAGTTATATCACAAAAATATTTATTATTTATAAATGTATATAGTTTCTGAGAGTTAAATTTAAAAATTTCCTTTGTATATGTTAGGAATGATCAATTTATTGAAAGTAGAGGAATGAATAATGAATATAAACAGTTATGTTTCACATTTATAGATAATTAATTAATTATTATGATTGTTTATTTTACAGATTATGTCTTTTTTGAGACTTCTTCTACTGCTCCATACCAAATCAGAAGAATTGAAGAGCTTATAAAGGTAAATGATTAGCATTAACTTTTTATGATAAAATAACCATAAATTCTCGAAGTTAATACTTAGAAGTTTTGTTAATTTGAAAAATAAAATTGCAGAATATTTAAAGGGTTTAAAATTTTATGGTTTGTTGTTGAAAATATAAAAACATTTAAAAGTTACATTAAATTTCATTAATTTTTAATTAATTTTATTAAGAAGAGAGACAGTAACTACAATAAGTTAATTTGAAGAAAAAATAGCAATTTTGCAGATTTTTTATTTATGATAGTTCTTGAAAATGTTATGTTTATTAATCACAAATTGTAAATTATATTTCAAATTTTAAAAATATCTAATTTGAAAAATGAACATTGTTTATATCTATTCAAGCTATTATTCAATATTTGCTTGTCTTCTATCATTTTTACTTCAGAGTTAAGTACAGTAATACCCCGACTTACGCTACCCCGACTTAAGCGAACCCGGANACTAGTTCGGCTGCCCGATGACGTTTGAGGTAATTATTGGGAATTTTTACTGTTTTTTACGGATACCGGTCACAATTTTTTCGTAGTTTTATAGGAATCGTAATTATAGGGACCATAATTATAGGGGGGTCGACTGTATCTTTGTATTACCAGTATATATTTCCATTCAGTGAACCCTAGTCCCATATTGTCAACTATTTGTATGCAAGGAATGTTTTTCACTTATGCTAGCATCAGATTGTAGATACAAATGTAGATGGAATAAAAATCCTTAACAAATGTTTTATTTAATTTTTTCTGTATTATATTGAATTATTTTTATTGAAATGTTTATATTATATATGTTGTTCTAGTGTAAGTATAGAATATATTTTGAATATTTAAATTTGTAAGAATTCAGTTTACAATAACTTTTGAAAGTGTTCTGTTTGGAATATTCCACTTTCAAATGCATTTTCTGTAAGATTTGGCCTGATGAATTAGGTTTGGATATAAACTCCCCAAATTGTAACAAGCATGGTTAATGAGGGACAGACAGACTTTTCGAAATGCATCCTGTAGTTATAATAAAACTGTGTTCCCCCATTACTATTTGATTACTCAAACAAACGTCAATAGTGTGTGATAATTCCTTCATAGAGCCAAATATTAGTGCTCATATTTCCAAAATGTAATATAAGGACAAAAAGCAAATGACCAATCTGATGAATTAGGTTGAAAATGTTAGTAAATTTTGATTAAAACTGTTATGCTTGAAATGAAAGGTGGTGTTTAACTTTTGGAGTAGTCTGTAGTGCCAGTTTGGTTTCTGTATAGGAATTCATCTTTTATGATGTCATCAAATACTGTATTATTAATTTTTCTTTTACAATATATAAGAGTGAATTAAACAACATGTATTAACTAACCATGGTCTGTTTCAAATAAGTTGGCACCTCATGTAAACAAAAGCACACATAAAGGCTGGTTTATAGTCCAGTGGCATTGTGGAGTTTTAAGGTCACCATCCATTGCTGGAGTTGGTGAGAATATTTTCTAGTTTATAATCAAATTCTGGCTCGTGGCTAACTTGACATGATATGGTGCTATCATCAAACAGCAAAGTTGAACAATGTTCAATATTGCTGTTTGATGAAAGTACTAGGAACATCAAACAGCAATTGTGTCACTAGACCAGAAGTAGTATGTGACAACTTGTTAATGGTCAACTTGAGGACAAAAGATATTTTGAAAGTAATATATAGAATACCTTTAATCTGACATCATCAGGAGCAGAGATTACGGGAGTTTTGGAATTAATTGTTCAGACATTATTAGATTCTTATCTTTTTCTTCAATGATATTTTCAATTATGTTTATAAAACAAAATTTGTTCATTTAAGAAATTATTTTTCTCAAGTGTAAAAAATAATACAATATTGCATGAAAAATTTACAAACCAATATTTTATATAATCATTGCAAATTCCACACTCGACACAGACCAGATATAAAATGGGAAAAGTAATTAATGTCTATCCATTTTTTCTGATACCTTAATTAAATCAGAATGTTTAAAAGTAACTGGTATGTATAGATTTTTAGATTTCTCAAAATTGTAGCTTTTATAAATATATTTAAGCAGTAAAAAGTAAATTAACAAATTTTTTGTTTATATGCAGGATTTCTTCCAATTAAATTTTACGTATTAAAAATATAACAGTGCAAAATTTTAATTTGAAAAACTACAAAGTTTTAGATTTTAAAAATCAATAATTTAATAATAATAATAATAATGACAGTAGTCATTTCTGTCATCTTCAGGTACTATATTATTTATTAATAAATCACAATATTTCACATGCATTTTATATTATATATGATCTTTACAATCAAATAAATTAAATTACAAGAAAATTGTGATTATTCGTGAAATAAATTCTAAATAAATCTTTTAATTATAATTTCTGTTATCAGATTTGATCATTTCCAATTTGTCTGTGTATATTAACCAGAAGTGTACATTTGTAGTTCACATCTAGCAAGATGGATGACTGTGAGACCTTCACAGAGGAACTCACAAACTCTGCTGTTGCAATACCATGCTGCCATTGGACTGTAAAGCAACTCTTAATTGTGCCTTCTAATTGGGCTAACTTAAAAGACAGCCAAATGTGTTACCAATTTCTTCATGTAACATAGTTCCAAATCATTTTGTTTTAAAGGATAGTACTGTATATAGGAACATTTGCTGTATAAAACTAAATTTTCTTTAGAGGACTTTCAACACTTATACTATACATATATATTATACAAATTCATCTAAATCTTACCTCATTGATGAAAATTACACTTTTAAATTATAATATTATTTTTAGAAATAATATATTTACAGGTGATCACTTACTTACAAGTAGGTTAAGTTTCCAAGATTTTGTTATTCCAAGATTATTGAAAACTAATCTAAAAAGCACATTTGTACACATAACATAACAGTGAATCATGCCACTGCTAGATTCACTATTACATTTTGGAGGTATTTTTGAATCCCTATCCATAAAAGTTTATAAAAATCGAAAATAGCAAAAAACATCTTACTCCAAAGTTACCAACTTCAACACCATCTCATAAGTGGCAGTGGAACCTCAGAATTTGTGCAGGAACAAAAAATGATGATACACAATAGAAATAAACCCATATTAATTATTTATTAAAAATTCATTATTTACTGCCAAAAACTGACTTCAATGCTATCCTATGAGTAGTAAGAGAACTTCAAATTCATGCTGAATTTAAATTTTAGACTATGGTCAAATCATTCATAAGTCTGAAAGTTTGTAAGTAGGGAAGCACTTGTATTTCATAAAAGAAGTAAAATAACAGCATAATGAAAGCTAAAAATTTTTGGAGCAAATAATAAAATAAGAAGAAAATTTTCTGACAGAATGAAAGAGAGAGAGTGAGACCAATTGTCAAGGATTGCTATATATAGTTTATAAAAATAGACATTTTTGGAACTTTGTCTTCTATCTAAAATTTTTGGATTGGCCAATAAGTCCATGCAGTTTTTGCTGGTAGATAGAGTTAGATACCCTGAAAAGCAGTTATTAGTAGTTTTAATCTTGAAAACATGTGCTTGTTTGACAAGTGACATTTCACCGTCATTTGTCAAAAATAAAGCTTGACAATTAGTTTCATTTTGTGTTTTTGTCAGTATTCAAAAGATGAGTGAAGAAAATGTGCATTATCAACACATTACGCTTTTTTATTTTAAAAAAGGCAAACCTGTGGTGCTAATATCCAAAAAAAATATGAGAGGTGTATGGTAAGGATGCCATGAAAGAACGTGTACCATGGTTTGCAAGATTTCATTCCGGAGATTTTTTCATTTAAGATGCATTCACCACAGTTAGTTTAGTCAGTTGAGATTGACAGTTATTAAATAAAAGAATTAGTTGACAGTAATCCATGCCATACAACATGGAAAATTGATATTCAAATATTGAAATCGAGTGTGGAAAATCATCTGTGTCAACTTGGTTATGTCAGCAAGCTTGATGTTTGGGTTCCACGTGAACTTAGTGAAGCCAGTCACATCACTCACATTTCAATCTGTGATTCATTCAAAAAATGTGAGGAAAATGACCCATTTCTGAAGTGAATAGTGGTGTGGGGAAGAAAAATGGATTGTTTACATCAATATGAAAGTCAAAAGATATGGGGAAGCATGGCAAATTTCCCCAAGCCACTTCAAAAGTTAGACTTCATCCAAACAAAGTCATGTTCTCAATTTGGTGGGATTGGAAGAGTGTTTTGTTTTACAAGCTGCTTATGAAAAACAAAACAATCAATTCTGACATATAATGTGGCTAGCTGGACAAATTAAATTCAGCAAAGCAATTTAGAAGAAGTGTCCAGAATTGAATCAAAAGGGCATTTTCTTCTACTTTGATAATGCTTGGCCACATGTCATTGCAAACCTGGTAAAAATTGTTGGAGCTTGGTTGGGATGTCCTACCTCATTTTCCATATTCACCTGACTTTGCCCCTTCTGATTACCACTTGTTCCACTCTCTTCAAATTTCTTCAAATGAACAGCACTTCATTTCTAATAACGACACAAAACAGCACTTGGAATAGATTTTTGCCAAAAATAAAAATGAAGTTTTTTGAAGAAGATATTATGAAGCTCTCTGAAAGATGGCAAATGTAATGGCACACTGGGATGAATATAAAATAAGACTTTCATCAATTATTAATCGGTGTGAATTACAATTGCCATTCAATTTTATGTTTGAATTTTAAGGTCCAGCTTGTTTTGAATTGAAAAAAAAAACCTGAAAAAGAGTCCAGAAGGGGTTATGAAAACATTTGTCATGCAAGAGTTAATTGTAATTCACACCAGTTAATGGCTTATGTTAGTCATATTTTAGATGGCAAATGGTACTCAATAAAAACAGTGAATATATTACTGTATAAAATTTTTATTTTCACCTAAAAAAAGCACACGGACTTATTGTCCAACTCAATATTTATATTTTTTAACATTAAAATTGGCAATTATTATTATTTGTATTTTTAGGATAATTTTAGAACATAATAATATCTTGATTACCAAGAGACTAGTGATGATTGTCTACTCTGAAAATTTTAGTATTTCACAAATACAAGTTTTATATTGGAATTGGTTTGAATTTTCTCAACATTTAGAGGTGTTCATTTTTCTATATTTTATAAATTATATTTCTTAAAAATATCAAATTTATTTTAAAAATCTAAGATTAAAATGTGGTTTTTTTTTTTTTTAACATACAAATGGTGGTTAAAGAGAACTTATCAGTTTGTTTACATTAGATACCAACTTGTTTGAAAAAAAATTATAGTTATATAGATTCTGTTTATCAATTGTTCTGTGTCAAATATTTTTGGAAGCTATAAATCTTATACATATGATGTGGTCTGTATTGGGAAAGACAACGAAAATATAATTCTGATATCTTAAACAATATTTTATTTATTATCTAATTCTTTCATTTTTAAAAATTAATTTTATTAATTTTAACAAAATATTTCCTCCAAATTTTAGACTCCTAGTGGAAATGTAGAAGCAAAAGTAATGTGTTTTTATAGAAGAAGAGATATATCTGGAACTCTTATTATGTTGGCAGACAAGCATCAAAGTAAGTATAATTAATATTGAACTAAATCTAATTAGAAATGAAGTATTGTAATTTTGTGCAGATAAGCCATGGTGATGTATGCCCACAAAAAATTTCAAGAATGAAAATAAAACCTTATAACTCACCATGTCATAAATCCCATTCTGTTGGCTGTTGAAAGCAAGATAATTACCAGTATGCACTTTAGAAGTTGCCTTCTCAAGCATTAAAATTTTGTTTTTCTGTTTAATTTCTGTTAACAAATTATTATAGATATACATAAACAACCAATTATGAATATTCTGAAATAATTGTATTAATATCTAGAATAATTGTATAATAATTGTAGAAATAATTGTATATTATTCCAATGAAATTGTACATTTCATTGCGAAAAAAAACTTTCTCCGGTAGTACATTATTATCATTTGACACTGATGTTACTTAATATCAATGTTCTTGTGAAGGTAATGTGAAATAGTAAGTCATTCTCTGTGTTTACAGGAAATGGTATTTATTAATAATGATTATCTGATACATTTTGTAAACTAAAGTTTTAATTATGAATTTTATCATTTTAGAATCACCAAATTTTTAAGATTTAAAATAAAACATTTTATTACGAAAAATAAATTATTCTGTTATTAATCTGAAACATTAAAACTGTATAACTTCTACAAAGAGAAAAAAATCATAGTATTTTTAACTATTTTTTATTAATGAATTATGTAATTTGTTACAAAAATATAAATTTATTAAATTTGTTCCTTAATAATGTTCCAAAATTTTATATTAAAAATAACTGGAAGAAAATTTAATTGAAAATTAACTGCAATACTTTGTTACACAATTAAAATTATGAAAATGAAAAATGATAAGAGTATCATTTAAGTTGCAAATAATTTTTTGCACTTTGTTTTCATTGTTAGACTAGTTCATTAACATATACCCTCAGACTGAGGATATGAGGAGTAATTGTGAGGAGTTTGGAAAGAACTAAAATATTTTTAAAACAAATTTTACTGATATTAAATTATTAGTTTTCTCAAATTTATAATTTTGCCTAACAGCATTTTTAAAGTCACAGAATGTTTTAAAATTTTAATATGCTGATTAATACCATATTAGGGACTCAATCTGATCTATTTTATTGTGTTTTGTGACAACTCATTTTTACACATTGTTGTTACAATAACTTGACATTAAGTAACATTAATGTCAAATGATAATGGTGAATTAATGGACAAAGTTTTTCTTGAACTGAAATATAGTAGACCATTATTCAGACTATAGTTTGGCTAAGTATTAATACTTGATATAAAATAATTTTTTCTAAAGATGGACAGTTAGACCACTGCCTTATACTAAGAAAAACTAAAGATGACATTACCTTTTTGCTTTATTTTTTAAACTCTGTGTATGTAAAATTTTGTTTTACATACACATCTATTTCATTAATTAAGCTACCATTTGTATAAAATTTAAAATATTAACTAACTTTCAGTCCAAGCACGTGCTAACAATAGTTTAGTACAATCACATGCACATACAAGCGTACACTTGTGTATTGTGTTCACTAATGTGCATTTGAAGATTCATTGTGTGTGGTACAGTACCTAGCTTTACAGGAATAAATAAATATGATTTATTGTTTTTATTTTATGGCTAATTTCCTTTGCCTGGTAATATAATAAAATAAAGTTTGAAAAAATTAAACAAACTAATTATAGTTTGAATCATATAGTCTTTTGATTAGAATTTAAAATTGGCACATAACTCACACCCCTTTCAAATTATTTTTCAAGCAAACATGGATAACCCATAGGTTATATGCATAAAATTACAGTAATTATAAAATTTAAATAATAAAAATTGTACTCCTAGAACCTATTTCCTATTTTTGTAACACATCCCGATGTTATTGTTGTTGTTAATTTAAATAATAGTTTATCTAATAAGTGGTATGAATGAGGGTATTTTATTGTTGATTTTTTTACAAGACTATGTCTTGCTTATAAAATCATACTGCCATTTTTTATTACCACCATAGAGTTATGAAGGAGTACATGTCGAGAGTTGATATTTTGGCACAGAGTATTAGGTGCCCAAATCATGCGCGCATAAAAACATCCAGACTTGTAGGTAGTCAGGGGACTGAGAACCGAGTCAAAATAAAATACAAAATGGCGACCCCCTTCTACAAACAGGCAAAACAGCCACCTCATCCCACCAAAGTCAGGTGGGGAAAGTACCACCCACAGTCATTCTAGAAAGTGAACTCTAGCCTTAGGACAAAACACGTAGTTTCTTCTATGTTAAATAAAATTTGTAACCTAATTTTGTAAATTTGGGAGTGCTTTAAATATGACTTTAAAATGGTTTTGTCGTTACAAGTACGTTTTTTAACATTATCTAGTATAGTAAAATTGTGGGACCAATAAAAATTTGACTTTATATTAAGATTGTCATTACATCCAATGACGTTATAATCGGGTTAAACTGTATATTGTTCGTGCAAAATAAAAAAATAATTTTGGATGATACGATAGCCAGATTATTATTTTTTTTTTTAAAATGGGAAATTTTCATTATGCATTGACAAAAATTCAACCCAGTCTGACACGCAACGGAGAGAAATTTCGAAATTGGATAGGTTAATTTCATCGAAAATGCATCGTGGATGACCTCATGATCATGGCCAGTGAAATTTGAACAATCGCGCCCAAAAGCAGCGATATCAAAGAAGATTGGAGAATGAGAACGAGACCCGTCTTGAACATCAAAGTGTTTCCGAGATATAGTCTTGTAGTGAGATATAGTCTTATGAGAACGAGACCCGTCTTCTTAGTAGTGAGTTTCCGAGATATAGTCTTGTCCCAAATACGGTTTTGCCGTTTTACTTGTTTAATCTGAAATGATTTTAAGATAACACACCACAAAATTAAAATCTTAATAATTTTTATAATTATTTCAGATGAAAAATAATTCATAACTGCAACTATTTTATGTTCAGTTTTAATATAGCAGAATAAGCACATAACATGCCTTGTATTGTTAAACATGATTATGTATGTAAAAAGAGCTATGTTTTTTTATCCATAATTCATTGAAAATATATTCATTTTTTTGTCAATAAAATTATTGTATTAGATTTAAATAGAAAGTGATCAGGATGTTTTACAAATTGAATACAGTGATTATGAGTCATTTATATAAATGGTATATATCAATTAATGATGGAAATTCATTGCCCATGATCATATGTAATCATGAAATAGAATCATGAAAAGATTGATAACAGTATTGCATAAAAAGTAAACATTTCTTGACCATTTCTTGATTTTTATAACTTAAAGAAATTAATTGGCCTGAAATCATATGTTATACTGATTAATATTAGAATTAATAGTGATCATTAATTGATGACCATTTAGGAGTAGTGGAGAATAGAGTAATGTGTTTTTTGTAGCCATAATAGATATGTAAGATCAGACCAACCAGTAAAATGATAATGCTGAATATGTATGAATGAATGATTAACATATTTGTTAAGTTTGTTAATATTATAATTAAAATTATTATGAGATAGCAGCTTAACTGTCTACCTCCAGTCAAATTATATTAATCTAATTACAGTAGAGCCTCGATTATCCGACCCCCTATCAACCGACTCCTCGGTTAACTGACCGTCCTAGTCGGCAAATTTCAAATGTCCGCTATTGATGTGGCACTACAATATTTGGCTATGTCTCGGCTACTTTAATATTATTTTTACGTGTTTTAGCTGGCAACACTCATTCGACCATGAAAGGGAGCCAGTATTTAAACAAGGCTTAATTTTCTAACTTTTAACGATACAATAGTGACGATTATTATTTTAAAAAATTTTTGTTAGGCTTAACATCGATGAAAATTCAACACGAAGTAGGTTAATAGCGATATACTAATTACGTGGGATATAATAATATACTACACTAATAATGGATTTTTTCATACTTTTCGGTTATCCGACTTTTCAATTATCCGACCAACCCCATCCCCCAATTGGGTCGGATAATCGAGGCTCTACTGTATTTAATTAGCCTTATGTTATAGCTTGATAATACAGAAGATTATTTGGCATTACTTAAAAATCAGGTTTATGGATTATTTATAAATGTATAAATGCAAACTAGTTGATGCCATTGAATTTGACAACTTACATCAGATGAAATTTCTGTAGCCATGTGACTGTTTTCCTTCAACAGTCTTGTGATATCACTTATGACATAGTTCTCTTTAGGACCAATAAACATTTCCTCTACCCCTACAAACTATTATCAAGAAAAGTTTCTTTACAAAATAACAATAATCAGTGATTATAATGCATTACAGCTTTGTGTTACAACTTGTGTGTTTTTTTTTATTGACAATGTGTTAATAAGCAATATGTACTTATTGCTTATTATTTATTATATTGTATTATATTGTATGTAGTATTATATTGTACAAGTATATTGTAATATACTTAGTGATATATATTTTATAGTTTCAATGATTTAATTAATTAATTTAATGAATTAATTATGATGTTCTTATATATATATATAATAATCACTCAAAAAATGTTTCATGTTTTTCACTCAAAAAATATTTCATGTCTCTCACTCAGCTCATCACTCAAAAAATATTTATGTCACTTATTTCAACTTGAAATCAGTGACATAAATATTTCACTAGGCATGAACATTTTATGACCATCACATGAAACATGCAGCATGTTGGATCTGAGAGTCGTTGAAGGGATTTACATAAAGTCTGTTGAAGGGTGTGACATAGAGTGATGTTGAATTGATGATTTTGCAGTCAATGGTCAATGGTCAAACTGACCATTGACTGCAAAATCCTCCATTGAAATTTGTATAATCACTGAATAGTGATTATACAAATTTAGTTTGACATCAGATGCAAGTTTACTGCAATATTGACTAGTTTGTGCTTAACCTTAAGCATTCTTCATTACAGACACACACACACACACA